GAGGGTTTTTGTTCCCCTAACTTGCCAATTTCACTTAGCAAGTCACCCAACCAGTATAACATGGTTTTATGCATAAGCGTGAAAATCCTTAACTATCAGCTTTCATTCAAAGTCATCTCTTTTCACATTTAGGAATTAATTCTCTAACCTTGATAGCTTTGCCTCATAGCAAGTTTCAAAACCATGCTTTTGCTATATCACTTTGATTTCACATGTTCCAATAAACCATTTATACTTGTCTTTCTAGGTACTAACCTACTTGGAATTATCTTTGGAAATATTACAGGGACTCTATCCTTTAACTTGCTAAAAAGTTTTCTTTCACAAACTTTCTAATTGCCATTTAATCCAATATGGACAATTCCATACTTTAGACTCTTCATGGAAACACGGTTGCCAATAACAACACCTTTAAGTAGTAACACCCACTTAATTCTCCACTCCCAACTTGCATAACCACTCTTAATTATACACTTTAATTCCTATAATTTAGTTATATCCCTTTATTATCAAACCATCATTATGCCTTAGTGAGTTGGGATTCGAACCCAAGCATTAGAGAGTTGGGATTCGAACCCAACCTGCATATGCATCTACGGATGGCATCACCACAAATGTCTGGCATGACTCCTCATGCGAGTGCACCAAATTATACCCAATACATGCTACGGATCACAACTCAAAAATCTAATTCCTCTAAACTACCAAATCCTCTCACTTGACAAGCCTATGATTATGTATAGACTCTTCCATGCTTAGCTTTATGAGCCACCTTTTTTTAAGTTAACACCTTCAACTAAGGCTTTTGCTCCCCCAACTTGCCAATCTCACTTAGCAAATCACTTGACCACCGTAATATGATTTCATGTATAAGCATGAAAGTCTTTAACCATCAATTTTCATTCAAAGCCATTTCTTTTCACATTTGGGAATTAGTTCCCTAACTTTAATAGTTTTGCCTCATAGTAAGCTTCAAGACCACGTTTTTGTTATATCACTCTGATTTCATATGTTCTAATAAACTATTTACACTTGTCTTTCTAGGTACTAACCTACCTGGAATTGTCTTTGGGAATATTAAAGGGACTTTATCCCTTAACTTGCTAATGCCTGTTCTTTTGCAAACTTTTTAATTGCCATATAATCTAATATGGACAATTCCATACTTTAGACTGTCTATGGCATCATAATTTCCAATAGCAACACCTTTAAGTAGTAACACCCATTTGATTCTTCACTCCCAATTTGCACAACCAACTTTAGCTATGCTCTTCAATTCTTATGATTCAGTTCTATCTTTTTATTATTTGCTTTTTCACATTATATGTTCCCTTTGGTTATTCTTTTCTAGGTTAGAAAAATAACATTTTATTTTCTCCCATACCTTAGCAAGGATAAATCTACCCAATAGGTTGAGAGTGGTTCCTCAATCTGGATATACTCATCTTGTAATCCCACACACAAGGATTAATGTTGCTACTCACGATCCTTTGTATGTCTGTTACTAACCTTGTTAAAAAAAAATTAGCTTTATCTAATTTTGGATAGATTAATTTCTCCCATCTTTAACTTTCTACCACTTTAAACATTGGATAGCACCTTATATTCATTATTCTTTAACGATTTAGTCCTTATAGTTTTATTTAATACCCTCATGATACCAAACACTACTTCTTGGGTGTTTAAGAGTGTTTAAGTGTCTTAATGATGAATTTCTTTGACAACTTTTATTGATTTAATCTGTAAATTCTACTTCATTCCAGCATAAAAGACATTTAAATTTTCAACATTAAATAAAATATTTCAAACCTTAATATTTTTTATCTTTAAAATATTAATAGGATAAGAAGAAATAAAGTTTCAAAATCCTCTGAGCATTATAATGTTACTTCATATTTGCTTTAAACTTTGCAAATGCTGAAAGTGCTAACCAGCAGGAACTTTCAACTTTTTCTAGCAGCCATCCTGTCATTATCTCCTCATCCTTCATAGCCCCATGTTGAGCACTGATAGCACAATAACATAATAACATCAGACTCATTTCCACTCCAGAGCTGCTTGGTGCCACTAGAAGAGCTTGTTGAGGCAGAAAGTACATGCCATATCCCCAGACCAGCAGCAACTTGCCCCAGCCACGATATGTGGCAGGATTGCGTCTTCAGCCCTTGGCCAAGGATCTGCCCGTTTTTCTCAAATCCCTCTCAGCAGCAAAGGCTTATCATGGATGTGGGCAAAGAGTGCGTGGAGATGGATTACACTGGTTATGGTAGCGTGCTCGAGCTCAGGGGAAGCGCCTCAGGGGATTTGCCGCTTCGTGGGATCCACTTGAAAAGGACGCCTGTAAGCTTGTATCTCCTCTGACTTAAAGAACATTAAATCTGAAATGCATTCTTACATGATGCCTGCGAGGACTTGACGATCCAGAAGTTTCTATGATGAAACTAAGTCAAGCTCAGGACTAGCATACTTTTCTAGTAATCTTGTTCCAAGTATCTCACACGAAGCATAAGATAAACATCTTGGCAGTTGCTCACGTTTTCTCCAAACATATGGTGCGAACAAGACATTGCAAAGCTGCTCCTAGTTTTCTTATCATGTCATCGACCTTTTCTCAGGTGCCTTGGAATTTTGCTTTCCATCTCCCGGCTTGCGAGGTATGATTTCTCCACTTTCCATTTGCCTTTATACACTTTTTTCTGATTCCCATGGTCAGGGTGGCTGCTAGTCTCTTCTTCGAGATTTTCCTCATCGCTTTGTTTCTTTGGTAATTCTTCTGGGCTTCCTGAAAGTGAGGCATGAAAGGTGTATATTTTTAATTCCTTGTTCTCTACTGTAGTAAAACGTTATGCTGAGAAGCTCGCATCTGTGAAAGCAGCCCAACCTCTGGAACTTCTAAAGTTAAAAACGTGCGTGTCTCTACAGCTCCGCGAAAATTATTAGCGATGTATATCAGTGTGTAGACTCTCCTCAGTGCTGCTTGTGATCCGTGGTTTGATCTGCATGGGACAACCACGAATCCACAATGTGAACCATCCTACTGTTGGATCCCTCCTGGTCGCCGGTATCATCAGTTCCATGCTCCGGACCACCATCCTCGGTCTTGCAATTCGTCGCCTGCAACTCTCGACTCGAGCTATCGCCACCTCCTTCCCACATCGAAGGCATGGACGAGAGCTCCGAGCTCTCCAATTTCCTGGGAAGATTTACACGCTGCTGCTCGTGTTGCTGCTGCTGATCCAGCGAGCTCAGCAGTGGCGAGCTCGCATTCTGGTCCAGGCCGAGCTCGTCCAGCGGTGTTCTCAGAAAGTCCCCCATACTGGGAGGAGCTTGCTGCTGCCTCGAGTGCTCGTGAGGAGCAGCGCTGGCGGCCACCGCGGCGGACATGTACTTGAAGTATGGCGACGATGATCCAAACCCAGCGGCCGTGGCCTCGGAGTGAGCTCTCGAGCCGAAAGCTGGGAGCAAAGCCGAGGGGTCGAGCGGTGGAAGTCCCTGCAACGCCTGGTGGTGTGGACCTGCGAAGCCCAGGATCGAGCGTGTGGCCGTCGGGGGCCTGCCGAGATCCAGGAACTCGAGGCCGTTTCGCTGGTGCATCGACGAGGAGAGGAACGGAACCGACGGGATCCCAGTGAGCTGCTGCACCATCGCCCGGAAGTTGGAGCTGTCCGCCTCGAGGACGGTGGTGGGAGGCTTCCGCGACGCGCGAGCTCGCTTCTTTGTTACCTTCCCGGATCCTGTTCCTAGAGCTCCCGCCCCACCGAGGAGCTTGTTGGCGATGGTGGCGCTGCCCCGGTTTGGCGCCGTGGAGGAATTCGTGGTGGCACTGCCATAGCCGTGAGCTCCAGCGTCCCCGTCGTGCTGAAAATCTGTGGGCTGATCGAGCTTGTCACCGCTGGTGGCGAATTGACGCGATGGAGGCGAAGCTTTGTTGAGAGCGCTAAGAAGCGATTTGTCGGCCATCGTGGCGGTGGTAGGCGAATCGCTGGAACCTAGAGGAGACCAAGAGAAGTGGTGGTGGTTGTGATCAGCGGCGGTGGTAGCGCTAGCGGCACTGGATTTGAGCGACCAGAGAGACGTCTCGTGGAAGGAAGAAGGCAACTTTGGCTCCCAGGTTGCCATTGACAGCGATTGGAGATGGAGAGACGAAGCAGCACAGGAGGAATCCGAGCTCCTGGAATCATTCACAGGCGTGAATTCTCTCGTCCCCTCTCAAGGATCTTCCTCTCCGCTCGCATCAAGCTCTCTCGGCCTCGAATCGAATTATATATCTTTATCCTCGGGGATTCGCTCGTGAGATCATCGCGCGCTATCGCATTTGGATAGACAGACCTGGAATTTGCGATTCTCTGACCGCTCGAGAACCTGTAGCGCTCACCTGGGGATCGGTGGGCGATGGTCTAGAAGAGATTGTGTAATAGGAAGAGGCAAGTATTTTTCGGCCCAAGGAAGATTTTTTAGCTGGATTTGAGACCGTGTGAATGGAACCGTAGATCCACACCGTTGACGGCGGCTACCGTACGCTAGCTCCCCTCGTGTCCGTACGCCGCAACCGGCGGAATCTGGTAGGTGGAAAACGATCCGGTCGCGCTGCTGCTGTCGGAAAAAAGTAAAAAAATAAAAGCGACCGGGCACAGTGGAATATGCGGAATATATGACTGGCATCTGGCAGTAACTACGTCTGCATGCACAGTCCATATTGCTCCACGTGTCTTGGGTGAATTTGCCCTAATAGCCGGCATTTTGTTTTTGGTTGCACCAACTTGGGTTACCTTGATTGATTTTGATCTTTTGATGGGGCTGGTTTTCACTTGTTCAAGGCGGTGGTAATTTTTTCCTCACTCGTGCAATCAATGCGATAGCGATTCACTTGGAAAAGCAGCGGCTGGTCAAAATCTACACACAGAAGCTTCGCTCTTCTCGGTCTAAACAGGAAAAAAGTAAAAAATGGTAATTGTTAATGTCTTAAGACCTTGATTGATCACAACCTACGTGATCTTCCATTCGTATCTTCTCTCTTTTTTTTCTTGGAGGAAACGAATCCAAAGACTCAAAACAGAACCTTCCTTGTGGTAAAACTTGAAAAAAAAAAAGAGGAAGGGGTCTCGTCTTTTAGAAGAACGCGCTTTGCTGACGTTGGCACGTGTCACGCTGATGTGGCGGGTATGGCTTGGGAATATATCGGATTTGAACCGGGAACCACCACCCAACTGTACTTCCGGGATAGATAGATGTGAGGCTTCATTGAATGCGCACCGGGGCCACATTCCGATGTGGAAAGTCGAGAGCGTGGTGGTTGGCTGGGCGGTGACGTTTTCCGCCGCGGAATGGGCGAGCGAGCGAGTGCTACGTGGCAGGTCTCTGGTCGGCGATTCCGCGTCACCGCAATCAATTCGCAAAGGCTTGCTTGGCGGCCTCCGTACGCATGCATGGAGTTACGTACGCGTGATCTTCTTGATCTTAGAAACACACCATGTGAGGCGAGGCCAACCAAACTTGACCGAAACTCCTGCGAGACAGTGGCTTTGAAAGGTTAGATTTTTCCTCCCCTGTTTGACTTGTCCAAGGCCACGTACCTGAGAATCAATCGCGAGTGTTCGTGAACAAGGCCAGAGTTAGTGTAAGCAAAGTCCCGATTAGCGCAATCATCCTTCGCTGCTTGACACTCCATGGATCTGCGAGTCTTTGATGCATACCTCGTATGAAATCCATTGTCGTGATCGAGCTGGATCGCTTCACATCCTTTGGTTTCTGTTTGGACACGGGTGGAGGAGTCCATGTCGAGAATGGGCTCCAGGGGCCGGAGCAAACTTCCAGACCACCCCCGTTGGCGCGCACTCGAAACTTGCAGCTCTTATTACTGTTGTTGATATCAAGCATGAACCTACAGTAGAAAAAATCAAAAAAGAAACAATTAAGTGTGCAGTCTACTTCCTTGTCCCGAGAACATTAATGGACGTACCTTGGAGTGGAGCCCTCGTAAACTTGGAGTAACTTGCCAGGCGCTGACTCCATCTGGAGTGTGTAAGAGACGACCTCTCGCTGATCCAGATGCGTCCACGATACGGAAAGGAAATCATTGGAACGAGCCAGCTGTGGTGCGTCCAGTGCGGGAAGAACGATCTGAGCTGGGAGAGTAACCGAAGACAAGTCGCTCAGATGGCTCGCACCGGCAGAGTTGATAGCCTAGACAAAGCTGTTGAGCAAAAACCGAGAATATCTGTTTGGGTCTTTTTACCTGGACAGCCACCTGATAAGATCTCCCAGGTACGAGCTTTACAACTTTGTAAGACGTCGAATCCCCCTCGTACACCTTGAAAAGATAGATTTGCAATCAATACATGTAGACAGTTAAGAGAGAAAAAAAAGACGATTCAAACCTTATGCATATGACCAGACTTAGAATGATCCATGAGAAGCCTGTATCTGCAGAAAGGTCGAATAAAAAGTAAGGTCTTTGAAAGATCAACAACACCAACCTCAAGATCGGTGCTCCATTGTCGCAAGTAGGGGCAGCCCACCTGACACGGACACTTGTTGGTGATATTCCAGAAAATGTTGGCGGGGATGGAGGAAGAGGACACGCTGCAAGTGTGGAGGCAGTCACAAAGCTTGGTCCAGAAGGGCCATACACATTGTAGGCTACGAGCCGGAACATGTATGAATGCCCAGGCAGTAGCGACGGTAACGCGTAACTGCAGCAAGCTTTTTAGATGAAGTAAAACATAAAATAATTGCTTACTTGAGCAATGCCCCTTTGTATACTTCAGTCCACTCGTCCGTAGTGTCCTCTATATGCGTTTTGTTATGTCTTGGATTGTTCTTGAAGGCTTCGGGTTTTTTTTTCATGTGAAGGCCAAAAGAAATCACGCTAGCACCATTGTCTCGCTGTGGAAGCTGCAAAAATCGTTAAACTAATGAGCCCGATAAATTTTCAATAGCAACAATTTGATACCTCCCATTGTAGCGACACAGTATCGGTTGATGTTTCACTAATGACAAGAGACGGTGGCGAAGGACAAGACGGAGATGTCTTAGAGAGGATGATCTTGCTGCAAACGCTTTCTCCAACCGAATTCAAGGCCTGGCAAGCCACGAGATATGAATGTAAAGAATCGAGAAGGCACACAACCTGCAAGCAGAAAGCATATGAAGTCCATGGCTGAAGGTTCTTCAATGTATACGCAAGAGCAGGACCATCGTACACAGATTGAACAGCGTGACGTTCCTGGTCATTATCTTCAGTCTGTGTTTCCTGCGTCTAAACTTATATAAGCGAAAACAACCTTACGAGATTATCTGTACCTCACATTTTCCTCCCCAGCAATGTAACGATCAGTTCCAGATGAATAAAAACGAAACATCTCATTCTGCCGGTTTGTTGCATCATATCCTAGATTGGCCATTTGAAGACGGTAAGATAGTATGCAACTACCGTTTGGCTTTGGCGAGATCCACCTGCAACGTCACTTGTGTGTCATAGAACTCGTTTAAAGCGAGAATCTCAGTTACCGTAGAGAAACGGTGGTAGATGATACATTGACAATAGTTGGAGTTTCAGGGGCATCCGGAACAGCTGCTTTTGTCCAAACTTCACTCGGGCCTACACAACAAAAAATCAGTCAAAGCCAGCTGCAGACAACTACCATACCGCTCCAACCGCTAGAACCAGCTTTGTTCAAAGCCTGTACTTTAAAAATGTATTTCTGCCCGGGAATAAGCTTGTCTACGCCAACAGAAAGCTCATCCCCTCGATATACACACAAAGAGTCGCTTGTTTCTGCAATTAGCATCTAAGACGAAAAATTAAAATCTGTTGATAGAAGTGTAACATTACCTCTAAACGATATCCGAGAATAGCTGAGCCACCGTCGTGGTTGGGACGGTCCCAGGAAACTTTCAGCGATGTACTTCGTATTTCTGAAAACACCGGAGACGAGGGAGCTTCTGACAGGCCAGGAGAAGTCATAAAAGAAGCTGCATACACAAACGAACTAAGAACGGCGTTATTACTTCATAAGAGAATCTGAATACCTTCTTGAGAAAAATCTCCACATCCCTCGTTATTCTTTGCTCTTACCTGCACATGATATTGACATCCTGCACGAACGACTCAGCTTGTCGATTACAAATGCCATCTTATGCGTACCAGGACGAAGACCAATGAGGTTGCACGTGCTCGATTGACCGCTATATGCTTGAGTCCAGCAGCTGCCAGACGCCTTCAGCTTGAACTCCAGTTCATACCTGAATGAAACCGCATGAGATTTGTTTTATTAGTAAAGTACTGTGTATGACAAACCCGGTTATAGAGCTTCCACCGTTGTAATCAGGTGGGCTCCAGCCGATGACTCCAGAGGTTGATGTCTTGCCAAGAATGCTAAGTGACCGAGGCGCAGATGGAGGTGAGTGCGATGTTGAAAACCTCGCAGACGCGCTAAATGCACCTTTCCCAATGCCATTGTGAGCAAGAACTCTGAACTTATAGCTGGTTCCACTCCTCAGGTTACCAACTTCACAACTAAGAGATAAAAGTATTAATAAATGGCAAATCATCCTGAAAAAATGTCAAACCTTCGTTCCTCGCCACTGTAAACAACGGAAAACGGCCCGTCGAGTCCTGCATCATAAAATATCATATACATATGTATGAAAGTTGCCGTTTACCATCGTCAGCCTCAAGAGTATAAGAGGATACTGGTGAGCCATGATTGTCTGGTTCCTGTATTTCGAAGTGACAGAACGAAGCTCAGAAAAGTCTAAATAGAAATCTGGCAATACCTCCCAGCAAAGGGATATGGAGTTTCGAGACGAGCTCAAGAGACTAGGAGGCGTGGGTGCAGCAGGAACAGACGAAGCTGTGACATATGTCACTTCTTTACTGAGGCCACTCCAGCCTAGGCAGCTCAAAGCCTGGAGTGAGGAAAACGAGAAAATGAGAACGTAGACAAATAGAAAATGTCTACCTGCACACGAAAGATATAGCTGGTTCCCGGGACAAGCCGAGTCACTTTAACCGTGAGATTTGTGCCACCACTGTAGACGTTCTCAAAATCGCCGCCTGGACGCTTCATCTCAGCGATGTATTCACGTATCGCCATTCCGCCGGTAATCGAGGGTGGCGACCACTTCAACTATAGAGAAAAAAAAAAGAATCATCCAGCTTACAAAAGGAAAAAACGAGAAGAAACAAACCTTAAGCGAAGTTCTTCCACGATCCACGAGTAGCGGGCACTCCGGCGGGCATGGCGCGCATGGGATTGTAAAAAACATGATTTGGTCCGAGGAAAGAGGTGGTGGTGCTTCGTTCGAACATGAATCCGGAAGCATGACGCAAAGCCGGAAAACGTATCCCATCCCGGGTATCAAATCCTCAACCTGTTCTTCGTGGAATCCAACCAAGAAAAACAAAATGCACATATATCACACCAGCAACCGCGTGAAGAAGAAGAAAAAAACAAGCTCGAATACCTTGCTTGAGTTCTCCGAGCCACGATAGATCGTCTTCCACTCAAGACAGTCGAAATTCACCGCATACCCAGCCGCGGATGAGGTGAAAATCCCCTGCGGGAAATGCTCCGACCAGGCCACGGCAAACTCGATCAGCTCGGGCGCTCCGAGATCTCTTCCCATCCCCGCATTCTTCTTCCCGGGCCTCCGCCCGTGCAGATCGCTCCTCAGCGCCCTCTTCAACCCCAGCTCCAAGCAGTACTCGAATCCATCAGCGAAATCGACGTATTTCGGCCACTCCAGCAGCAAGCTGCTGCGATCCGCCGCTGCGCAGATCGGAATAGGCGGCGGAGCCCAGCGCCGCGGCTCCGGCAGCGTCTCCTCCGCCTCGCCCATTCCTGTCCAAGAGCCCTAAACCTAGAACAGAGTGTGCCCTAATAGTTTGAAAGTTTAAAGATATCAAATTCAAATAGCTATGGTTTTCCAGGGTTTGTTCCTCCAATGGACAAGCCCTGAAAAGAATGTCCCTGCACTTCTGACATGGGGTATGGGCTGTGGGCAGTTTGCCTCCATCTCTTTTTCCACCCTTCATTTCTACTTCTACAGGTGTGTTCCAGGCTTTTGCTTTTTTTATACAATCTCTTCCATTGCAACACTCCTCTTTCTCATTCTTTTTTACCATTTGCTTGCTGGAGCCAAGAGTTTCCTATTATTATTTCCAGTAATGTAATTTCCAATCTTCTAACCCATGCCCCAAAAGACACTTTAGTAACCATAAACAGCATCTATCTATCAACCTCTTCTGATCCTCACTCTCTTACAATCTGAGTCACTTGCAACACTTCTGAACATCCCCCCTCGCTCTCACTATCAGCTACCTTGCTTGAAATATATATATATATATATGACTGCTGGAATGTTGAGAAATGATAAACAAGCTTTGCTTGGGTTTGCTTTGCTTGTACTAATTGATTATGGAGGAAACGACAATCTCTGCTAGAAACTGTTTAAATCGAGGATCACAGGAAAGAAAAGGAGCTCCTCTCTGTGAAGTCAAATGTATAAGCTGTTGAGCGGGCGGTTAAATCCTCCCCAACAAAACAACAAAAGCAAGCAGGAGGGGAAATCTGGTAGGAGAGATCCTGCATTGTTGTAAGCTCTGAGGAATTCCAAAATCGATCTCATTTAAGTACCTGTGCCCGAATAGTTCGCCCCTCAAATTGAATGACTCCCCTCCAGCACAGATTCTTCCTTCATTGTCTAGGCCACAAAATAGGAAGAATGAGAAACAAGCAATGCAAAATAAAACTTATTTTTCCTTCTTTTTCAACTTGGATCTGTGTCCCAAAGCTGCACAACTGACATGGCTGGAATTCAAACGAGCTTGAAACGAACCAAAAACTGTTTATTTTCTCAAGGAAAAGAAAAAAACGAAACAAGAAAAGGAAACAAATAGCAAAGAAGTGTTGCAAAACGATGCTGTGAATCTGGAAGGGAGCTCCCTTCAATCCAAGGGAAGTTCAGAGCCGAAGCCGCACCTGCTCCTGCATCATGCACACGGCTGCCATGCCTCAAACTCGGGGGATTCTGTGATCAACCTCGCCGAGATCAGAGAGTTGCGGAGGTGATCACGGGCATGTTTTCGGCGTGTCCTGATCACGATCTGATGATGGTTGCGGGCATGTCAGGCGAATGCATGAGTCAGCAGCGAGTAACAGCGACGCACCGACCTCAGTTGAATTGAAGGGAGCTCCCCCTGCAAGCCAAAGCCCGACACACCATAGCTCAAAACCTCGAGGCCTCTCAAAACTATCGTATGTGTATGTCACTCGCGCAGGGAAGATCATCGCAGGAAAGAAACACAGACCTCTCCCAGCGCCGATTGTTGACGTTGCTTCTCAAGTCCTCCGCGGCTCGGATCGAATTCTCGACGCACGCGTGCTTTCAAACCCCAAGAATTGCAGTAAATGAGCGAAATGAAGAGGAAATGACTGCGGGCGGAAAGAATCGAGCTTTGGGATTCTGTCACGGACGGGAATTTGCAGGGAGGGTGCACAAGGACGATTTGGAAACGACTACACTGGCTTTTCTCTCAACAACGCCATGGAAAGCGAAGGAGGACGAGAAGTATGCGACGATTGAAAAGAGAGAATGAAAGCTGGAGTGGGGATCAGTGAAACGAGCAGCCCTGCAGTTGGAGAGGCAAACATCAAAGGAAGCAAAATGCCAAAGCGAGGGATGGACCAAGTGGTGGATGCAGACAGATAGATTCAGAAAAGCAAAAGGAGCAAGCAAACAAAGGCGAGCCCATTGAAAGAGAGAGTGAGTGAAAGCAGCGCAGGCAGCAAAACAGCCAGCCAGCGAGAGCGAGCGTCTTCCCTCGAGACAACATCACCAGAACCATCAACAGCAGCGAAAGTGAAAGGAAAAAAAAGAAAGAAAAAAAACCACAATCTTGAGAAGCCCACAAACCGCAATGATCAGGCAAGCAATCCCATCCTTTCTCTCTCAGTAAGCACGAGCCGGTAATCCACGCCTGTACCTCAGTGATTTGCATTCCACCATGAAAGGATATCAAGCGTGGATCACTCGAAGCAAAGCCAAGCAATCCAAATCCAAAACCAATCGATCTCGCTCGAGCAGCAAAACCAGCCCCCGCAAGAACGATCCAAAGAAGAAAAAAAAAAGTGCCTCGCGAAAGCCTGGAGCGCTCAGGCCCAAACCAAAAAAAAAACAGAAAAACGGGGAAGAAACAAATGGGGAGAGACTTGTGTGTGAGTTTGTGGTGGATCGAAAAGAGCGAGAGGAGAGAGAAGAAGGGAGAAAGAGGAGCTCGGAGCTCTGGGCGGGCGAAAACGAGCGAACCAACGAACAAACGAATGAGTGAGTGACTGGAAATGAGGTTGATGGCTGTGCTTCTTATAGACTGCCCTTGTGCCTCTGTACAGCGGCGCCGCCGGCGGCGCCACCGGTGAGCGGCGCCGCTGGCGGGGCGGGACCCCCAAGAGAGCCCTAAAACCTAAAAGAACCTCGCCACCTCTGATAAGCGCGATTGAATGGAGCCTATGGGATCGCTCGATCGACCAAAGGCGAGATCCCTCCACGGGATTGATCCGTAGATCATGGCATGTAGGGGAGGATCGAGCGCGGCCCAGCGTCAATGGTGGTGGACCTCGCTCTATGAGGCTGAAAGGTTTTGAATGATTCGCCTGTTTGGGAGTGGCAATCATGCATGGAATTTGGGGGCTTTCTGCTTTGGCTTCCAAATTAAAATCCAAATTGGACTGTGGAATCGTGGCATGCTCCTCAAAACAAAGATGGATTCCAAGGCTTGGAAGGTCTGGGTGGCGATTGCCAAAGTTGACTGGAAGTTTTGAGGGGTTTGAGGAATGCAATGATGCAAGCAAGCGCAAGGATCAAATGGGTGACGCCACCACCACCTTTTATTCTATAGTGTTTAATAACAACATTGTCTAGAGTAAGAAAGCAAAATCACACACACACACAACTTTGGCCGCTCTTAAACGGTTTTGTTTGTCTGATCGTTGGAACAATCCTGTCGGTGATCCAAGTGAATAAAATGCTCGCGGAGAAAATGCGCGGTGTTTTAACAGGGATGGGTCCCAAAACTCCTTCCTGGCATAGAACCTTTGGCTTTGGTGTGTGTACTCCTGCAGCATCATGTTAGCGGGCACTGTAGGGAGGAAAGGAATTGCGACACGGATCCCCAAACCTTCGCGATCCATCGCCTCGTTTCCGAGGGAGACGAAGAAGAGTGTTTCGCATTTAAGGCGCCAAATGATGAGCAGCGAGGTCCTCCTCCTCCTGTGTGGAAGTGTAAGTAACACCAAGAAACAATCAAGCATCAGGAGAACCTGGACGGACAAAGAGATTGAAAGTACTGAGAGAGAAAAACAAACCCGGGACACTGCTTGAAAAAGAAGAGAAGCATACAAAAGGAAGAGAGACGCGTAGCCACCTTTTACACACTCACTCATTCACACGGCTGGAAGAACACTCACTAGAACGCTGAGATGACCGTAAAGGGACTCTCAAGGAAACTCAAAAGTTCCTAGGGTCATTCCAAAAGAAGCAGGACACACAGACAAGGAGGGAACAGGGAACAGCAACAAGCTAGCTACACCACCACCAGAGAAGGCAGGATACGCTATCAAAACCAAAAAAAACCAGGCAGAGATAAGTCATTCGCTCCTACCTGAATCGTTCCTGTGCCATAAACTATTTGCCAGTTTTTTTTTCCAGCTCCTCCAGTCAACTTCCAAAATCTGCACTAAAAAAGCAAGAGTCAACCGCCAAGTAGTGGGGATTGTGGGAGCCTACCTCATGTGCTCGCCTGATTTCTCCTTGCATTATTCATGCGACATAAGTGATGCACCTGCAACCGAATTAGATTCTCCAAAACCAGGAAATTCGCCTCTTTTCCTTCTTTTCTCCAGTAAAACTGCTGTAAGTATTCATTTCAGACTCCTGCTTTTCAATGAAATAGTATAAGTTAAGGATAATTGTGAGAAATAAAAATCAAATGGAAAAAAAGAAGAGAGAACCACGTACCTGGTGGTCGGACGTGAGCCCCATGTCTCGTAAGTCGAGCATGTCGGCCACACGACACAGAGCCCATGAAATACCAGCCCAACAAGCCCACGCACGCTAAAGAGCAGTGAAAATCACGACGAAACAGCATAATATCATACCACTCGATAGACGATTCCACATCTCGATCTATTGCCATCCAAAGCTTCGACACGCAGCATGCTACTGCCAGGAGAGAGAAAGAGTGACGAGGATAAGTAGTCAGTAGCATCAGCCCGCAGCAAGCCAAGGCGAAAAGAAAAAGTCAAGACTCGAGACGATGACAATGAGCCAAGCCTCTATCCTGCCCGTGACGTAATGCCAATCAGCCATCCCCCACAATCACAAAGATATCATAAAAAAACTGCGGCCAATACCGTAAAAGACCGAGACCAAGACCACAAGAACGTAAGAATAGCCGAATCTATCAAATCAGTCAAAAACAATTGCATGAAGAGCCACCATCAAAATGCTTCTTTTCGAACACAAACAACACAGTAGCGAGACAGTCAACCACACTCACTCATTATTGGCGTCCTAAAATGCATTAGCCAAGCCAGCTCAAAAAGCAAGTCAAACAGAGCGAGAGCTTACCTTCCTGCTGGTTGATTTCAAAGTTCTGGAGCCGTGGCAAGTGTGGCTCCCCGCCTGGGCCAGAAAGGAAGCCCAAACTGGAGCATAAACGGGCACGACTTGACAAGCCATATGGTCGACATGATGATGGTACCAGCCATGGCGTGCACAAGGGACCTTACCGAGGCACAGCTGAGATGACAAGAAAAAACACACAAAATTAGGAGAGCTGCTTATACAAACATATTTCTAGAAAGAGTGTTAGCAGAATCGCAGCCACTACTGTAACGATGATGCAAATGCAACACGGGTCTTACTTTAGTTAACTCTACCTTGGGAGTAGCTCAGCGTGCTGCAGTCGAAGAAACCGCCACCACTTGCACAGACCCGCTGCTTTTGAGGGGCTCTCATCAAGCCCATAGCAGGAAACCTTTGCTGGCTGTAAGCATTTAAATTGAAAAGTATCAGGGCCCCTCTCTCCCTCCCTGTTTTTTAAGTAGGAAATCTGCTTACTTGCCTGGTGTCTGCTCCCCAGCCAGATGTTCCCTGCAGTTTGTGTGTAAGTCCGCGTTACCTCGGTGTCGATAAACTAGTAATATCTCACGGAATGTGTCTTGTTTTTTGTTGCCTTTGTCCCTATATTCGTTGCTGCTTCCGCATTGTTCACCTTCCATGCTTCCGCTCCCTCCGGGGTTGTTTTGGAAACCGGAAAAGGCATCTTCCTTTCTCAAACACCAGAGTTGGTTCCATGTATTTTTGTGCATGTACTTCAGCCGAAACTTGGCATTCTTTCCAACGGTGGCTGGCTAGTGGTAGGCAGGCTGGCCGGTTGGCTACTCAAACCAATGTTGCTAACAGAATCACTGCATACACAAGAAAGAAAAAACAAAACAAAACATTAATAAAGCGTAATGAAACAATATTATATACCTCACCTCCGCTTTTCTTGTAGCATTCATATCATATTCTCTGCCGATTTCGATTTCCTTTAGAAAATTTGTTCGTATCTAGTCTGAGTCAAATAGATTCTCCCCAGATCGTCTTTGTCAAAGAGAGTAAAATGTGATCGCTGTACATACCACGGGCAGGCTCTCTATGAAGGGGTCTTCTTTCCTTCCCAGCTCTACCAAGGACTAAGTGAAGAGTCACATCTCAGCTCTTGTGCGATGAGAGAGTCTCCGCCTTCTCTGGCACACCCGAGCAGAGACTGCTTTACCAGTCCCATCCCATCCATCCACTCCCGACTCCAATCCCATCTTCCTTGCACCAATACACACCTGCTGTTCCAAACTTGTCATTAAGTTTGCGGTGCAGAGTATAGCTGCTTCAGCGCTGTGAGAGTTGAGGCCCCTACCTACTTGTATCTCTTCGCTTCTGTTCACCAGTTCCCATCATCAGCAGCCACCAGTACAAGCAGAACCAGCTACTGCGGTGAGATTTTCCCTGCAAAAAACATCCAAATTTTATTATTAGAAGCTATGAACTTCTGAGTTCTGAGCTAGAATATAGTAATCACTCAAATTGCTTTAAAGAACCAAGAAGGACAACCAAGAACAAGCCAAAGCTGGCTCTATAGCCAGTACGGGGTTGTAAGCCGATAGCTATCTACATCAAAGATTGCAGAACAGTCAGGATGCAATGCCGACAATCAGCATGAGATTAAAGGAGGCTTTCCCCCTTGTAGCCGTAGGCGCTATTTAGTAATTCTACGAACGGAAAGAGGAGATCACACTCTTCCAAGAGCGATATCTGATCGCATATCTTACATGTCACGCACACAACGTGTGGTCGTGACGGATCCTAAACATTCCCATCCATTCGACACATCAAGTGTCGAGCTCAGTTTTTAAATTTTCCTCGGTTCGTCTGGCTGACCAGCTGATACGCATTCATTGATTCAACTGGTAATGCAGGTAGAGACAATTGGCCGAAAGAAGGGGGTGTAAGCTAAGACGGAGTTAGTAGGCCACACATGATGATCAAATGCATGTGAGGTACTAGGAGGGAAGCCAGTGCAGTGATTTGTATCCTTTCACAGTTAGAAAGAAGGCAAACAAAACCCCAACAGTGCACACAGCACAGCAGCACACCCCCGTAGACCTGCATGCTGGAAGCCCCCAACACCACAGTACAAACATCCTATGATGTCCATAGGTATGATGTGAAAGTAAACTAGACCCTGGCAATGCAACAGTTCTAGAACTCAGACTAGGTAGGGAGGCCCAAGCCAGACAACGAAACAGGCAAGCCAGAAGAAACCACAGGCACAGGCAAATAGTCAATACTAAAAATCATTTAGTGTGGAGAGAGAGGCTTAAAAACTTGGGGGGAGGAGGAGGGAAGGGAGGGACGACTCCTTTTCCATCTCACGAGAATGTCGCGCGGGACCCAAAGCATTCTTCTTTTTTCTAAGGGGAGGGGATAGCGTGCGCACGGGCCCCTATAGCACATACATATCAGCAGCAGCATATCTCACACGGAGCCACAACCAGCGGCTCCAGCTTGCCGTGAGCCCACCACAAAAGGTTGTTAAAACTGGTCCCAGTTTAACTGCCACTAGGAGGACTCGACAGCAGTCATCTTTATGCGCATACGATATAATGTAGACGCTTTGGTTTCAAGAGCGAGCAAAAACTCTCTCTTTCTCTCTCTCTCTCTCTCTCTCGCCTCGGCTCAAACCGAGGCAAACAATGCGAAGAAAAAGAAGAATACAGGTAAGGCAAAAGCACGCATCGATCGACAATCATCATAGTTAGTTGCCTCTCAAGCCGACTTATCTGAAAAGGCTGGCTTTTGTCCAAAGCCAAGCTAGGGGAATCGTTCCTCAAACATTCGCAGACCAGAAAAGACACTGGACATGTGCCCGCCAAGGATGGACAGTCGCAAGGAATATAAAAATCAAAAACATTTGGGGGAGATTAATCAAACACATTCCAATCAATCACACACAAGAACAATCTAAACTCCATGCAATCCTAGAGAGATTGAGGGAGCAAGAACTTATCTGGCGATCGATCACTCGCGGCATTTGCTACATCCTTTGCTTGATCGCATCCAGATAATCCGATCCGGGTGCTCCTGATCAGCGACAGCGTCAGAAAGAATCCAATACCGACGAGAGCACGCCCGCGATGAATCCGCATTACAGCCAACGATCGGCAAGATCGCCAGCGCCGCAGCACAGCGCCATCGCGCCAGAGAGCCACACTAAAACCCTAGCGCCTGGTAGAAATAATGGTTGGCAAGCTCGATGCAAAATGCGGTTCAGAGCCGTTGGATGCGACACGAGACACGCGTCACGCATCCAACGGCGCACGTTGCAGTAGTATTACAACACGTAATCTCTCGTCAAAAACCACCAAAAGGTAGAACAGGACGAGAGATCCAAAGCTTGTCTCGCTATAGTAACAGCGTTGTCTAGTTCTCTCACTCCAACTTCACAGTGTTATCTAAACTCCTGGAAATTGGTGTGCCCGGTGAGCTTCGCGTGCTCCACAGCTTCCTACACCAAAAGAAACATAGCCTTCACGTAAGTTCCTGGTGAAAAATTGTGCGAGAAGATCGAACAAGCCGCAGAGAAAAATGGAGCTCGCACCTTTTGTCCCACCACGCCTTCTTGGCAAATTCCACAACGCAGCGTGAAGCTCGCAGTATCTGTGAACTTCCGGTTCCTATAAGTCATAAGATTCAAGGTTGAGAAACAATCGAAACTACACTGTGAAACTTAAGAAACCTGTGAGATTCCTCGACTAGTTTCACTGCCAAACGCTCCGCTGGACCAATGTGGCCATACTCGTCCACCTTGAAAACTGTTTGATCGACGTCTTCAGGAGCACCCGCAAAAGGAGCCAACTGCGAGAGTAGTTCTCAGTGTCTTGAAAACGAGCTCCTCTCATCTCACTCTTTTTTTCTCGAGAAAAATACGTACCGCAAGAGCATCATAGTGCAATCCATCATAGATAACCATGACACGCTCTTGGTAGCTTTTATCCTGCGCAGAAACAAGAAAAATCATCACTTTGAGCATTGCAACGAGCTCCATTCTTTTCGATTTCTCAGTACCTGGCCATAGAGATCACAGCGTGTAGTTTGAATATCATATGCAGCTATCTCGCGTCTATAATAGGCCGACAAAATCGCGAGCTCAATCGCTCCTATCCAGGAATAAAGATTTTTAGCCACAAAGAAAAAAAATAACGAGTAAGAACAATCGCGAGCTCAATCACTCCTATCCAAGAACAAAGTTTTTAGCAACTTCAAAGAAAAAAATAACGACCAAGAACAATCACGAGCTCAATCGCTCCTATCCAAGAACAAAGCAACGACAAAAGAGAAAAAAAAACTAGCAAGAACAAAGAAGAAAAATCGCGAGTTTTTCTCTACAAACCTCCCCATTTCTCGGGATTAAGTATCCACTGGCAATAGTCGCCGTTTGGCTTGCCAAGGAATGCCTCATTGTAAGACTCGGGATCGCTAATCACAGTGGCGGCGATAACCTGGAAGAATCGCAATGCGTCAGCGAAATGCGGCGGAGCAGCGGCTAGATCTGTGCAAACCTCTCTCAATTCCGAGGATTTGCTCTTGTTGTGCTCCATCACGTACCTGGACCAAAGTGCAAGAGCCCTAGAAATCGCGAATCGTCACTCATCTACGAGCGCCATACCCGACCGCATTGAAGAGGCAACTGTTGTCCGCGGGAATGATCCGGCGCACCACAACGCTCTCGTCCATCGCTCGCCAGAGGAGGAAGAAAGTCCTTTTTAAATAATTTCCAAAGCCCTAAGATTCCCTCGGCCAACGGAATATTCTCCGTCACTAGATGTAGCGGAATGTTCCGTTTTGCTGGATGGAATATCCCATCGGATGAACACGCAAATCCCTAACAATGCCCTTGTCAACCCTGAAATTAGGAATGTGGTAAAGCGAAGAGCACAGGGGAGCGCTTGTTCTTCCAATCGCGGGCGCGGCGCTTGATCGGCGGATTGCGGAGCTATGTTTCCTGGGATTGTGCGCTCGTCGTCTCGTCATTTGCCCTGCCGGAGATCCCTGGTAAGAAATCCTCTTCCAATGCGAGGACTAGGGCACAGCAGCTCGCATTCCTATGCGATTCCTCGGGTGTTCTTATCGTTTGGTCGGTGCGGCAGACAAAATGGATGAGCGTCAGGAATCTAGCAGCTGCCAGTGGAGATCAGGTCGGGCAGCTTAATTTTCTTCTTTTTCAAGCTTTGATACTGAGGCTTTCTTCTTTGATTAAACTAGATGACTGTTCGTGATGCGCTCAACTCCGCCATTGACGAGGAGATGGCTGCCGATCCTAAAGTGTTTGTGATGGGAGAAGAGGTATGCTTTCTCCTTTATCGATGCTTTTTCTTTCCATTCCTTGATGGGAATGAATGTGTCCAGGTTGGAGAGTATCAAGGCGCTTACAAGGTGAGCTCTTTCTTTGTCTTCTCTGTGTAGACTTACGTGGTAACAAATGTCTGGACTAAAGGTCACAAAAGGATTGTTGCAAAAATACGGACCTGACCGGGTGCTCGACACGCCTATCACAGAAGTGAGTGCTTTGATTTTATCAAGTTGCGAAGGTCGTAATGAATGGACTGGACTTCTCAGGCTGGTTTTACTGGCATCGGTGTTGGAGCGGCGTTTCAAGGCCTCAAGCCTATCGTGGAGTTCATGACGTTCAACTTTGCTATGCAGGTAGATGCTTATCACGTTTACGTTTTTTTCTAAGTCTTGTTCGTGTTGATTTTAGGCTATTGATCACATCATCAACTCTGCAGCAAAGACATACTATATGTCCGGAGGGCAAATAGCTGTTCCCATTGTATTCCGGGGTCCCAATGGTGCAGCTGCCGGTGTTGGTGCTCAACACTCACAGGTGAGCGCTCTGTTCTGCGAGAGTTGGCTCCATTTTTATTTTCATCTTTCAGTGCTTTGCAGCATGGTACGGGTCCTGTCCGGGGCTAAAAGTCGTGACTCCATACTCGGCGGAAGATGCACGAGGCCTTTTGAAAGCAGCAATCAGGGATCCCGATCCTGTTGTGTTTTTGGAAAACGAGTTGCTGTAAGTGGAACAATGCAACTCGGACTTGTCTCATATAGTTTTATTTTTGTAGGTACGGGGAGAACTTCCCAGTGTCCTCACAAGTTCGGGATCCAAACTTCACTCTACCGATAGGAAAGGCCAAGGTAGAGCTTTTTCCTGTTTCTCTAGTGAGTAATGTTTTTGAGTCTGCTGTAGGTGGAACGAGAAGGAACTGATGTAACGATCACTGCTTTCTCGAAGATGGTTGGTTTTGCGCTAAAAGTAAGACATTTCCTTGATTTCGTCTTTCCGTGCCTAAAATCATACGATCTTCTACTAGGCTGCTGACGAGTTGGCCAAGGACGGCATCAAGGCGGAAGTGATCAATCTTCGCTCCATACGTCCGCTTGACAGAGAGACCATCAACGCATCAGTGAGAAAGACATACCGTCTCGTTGCTGTGGAGGAGGGGTGGCCACAGCACGGCGTTTGTGCCGAAGTCTGGTAAGTCTGCGATGCTCGTTTCTTTTCCTCGAGCGACATGGTGAAACTCTTGTGCAGTGCTAGCGTCCAGGAGGAAACCTTTGACTACTTGGATGCTCCAATCGAGAGGATTTCCGGTGCCGACATTCCAATGCCTTACGCTGCGAACTTGGAACGCTTGGCGCTTCCTCAGGTAAAAAAAATCGCTTCTTCTATCTTTTTCGTTTCGTCAATCGTGTGTATGGTTGATTTAGATCGAAGACATTGTTCGGGCCGCTAAGAGAGCTTGCTATCGTTCAAAGTAGCCCTGCCGCTCGTCCACCTTCGTTTTTCTTCCTTTTCTTGAACTTCAGACCCAATTTTTCCTCACGGGACAATTTCGCGTTTATAATAAATGGTTTAAAATGGTTGTAATGAGAAGAATAAAAACCTTTTTGTTATCAAAATGTTCTTACAGATGAAAATCTCGAAAATAAAAATAAAATAATTCGTGATGAGAACACTACACGAGCGAATGAATGATGAAAGAATTCTTATTTGTGCCATCGTGGACTTCCCTTAAGAACCCTCTTTCAGGCCCGGTTGTCGAATCCCACCCATTGCTTCTTCTCTGCGTCGAAGAGATTGCATTGCGTCAGGATGGTGGTCATGAGCGGAACCCCAAACACGGCCTTGTTGAGGTGGCAGTCCCAGTTCTGGAGCAGCGATGCGTGCCCGGCTCGCAAGTTGTAACTTGGGATCTTGGTGGAAAGGTGGTGAGGAATGTGGACGCTAATGTCGTGGCACAGGAAATCGATCCTGTGGTAAAAACCCAAAGTTTGTAGGAGATTCTCGAGAAATGAGGATGTGTTTACGTACCATGCGGGGTATTCGCAGTGAACAGTTCCAGCAAGTTGAGCTCCCACGGCGTTCCACTCGCGGTTCTGCTTGAAGGGGATGTGTGGAGCCGTGTGGTGGACGAGGGTGAAGGTGCTCATCCAGAAGTGGAAGCCCAGCCATGGGAGCAGCCACCATTTGACGAAACCAACGGGCCCTTGGGTCACCAACAGGGGCAGCAAAACCAAAAACCCAAAAGCGTAGCAAGCCGCAATGCTCGTCTGAAGAAGGCAAGCCGTCAACTTTCTAAAAAAGATGATAGATAGATAATATTACCTTGACTTTGGCATGCTCCTGGGGGCGGAACTTGTTGAGATCGAAATGCCAGAAGAGCCAGTGTCCGATGGAGGCCATCCACCAGAGAGGACCCATTGTTGCACGCATCATCGCCTGGCCAATCCTGTCCGCATTGTCAAACTGGTGTGGCCGGAATGGCTGCCATGCCGTGTCCATAATCAGCCTGCACAATCGCAGGGAGAAGAATCACGTTAGCATTGAATGCGGGAGAAAAAAACACAGAAAACGATCCAAAGGTTTGAAAGATCCCCAGAGGATCCTGGAAGAAACGCGAGAAGCTTACTTGTTGGTGTGTGCATGGTGAGTGTTGTGCTTGATTCTCCACGGCTCGAACGGGAAGACGAGTGGAGTCATGACCGCATTGCCGACGATATCATTCACGAGCTGGGATTTGGAGAAGGAGTTATGGCCGCAGTCGTGACCGATGACAAAGAGCCCAGTGGCGGCGGTGCCCAGGAACGCGTAGATAAAAGGGTAGAGATACCATGGAGCTACGGCCAGGGCTGCGTATCCAGTAACCAGGGCCGACACCGTGATGGCCACAGTTTTCCATGCCTTGAAATCATCCACTTCAAACACCTGATCACACCTTTAGCTCCAAGGTTTTTGATGATCTTTGTTTACCTCCTTTGGGAGCGTCTTGACAACGTCGTTCAACACCATGCCGGCAGGAACCTTCGGAAGATCAAGCAAGAAGTATCATTAGAAACTTTTCTAGAACTGATAATTTGGATGATCAATTGAAATCACTTACTGGCTCGCCCATCTGTGTGAATCCCGGAGTCATGACGACCTTCCTCTCGGCTGCTTGATCGCGGGCGATTGCTCCAGCCGTGATCACATCGAGGCAAAGCCGGAGTGTCGCCTGAAGAAGTTGGGAAACTTTGGATTGGAAGAGCTATACTAAGGTACCTTGCGACGAGGAAATGGAACCAAGCCTCTTGCCGGAATAGCACTGATACGGATGGAAGCCAGAGCGATGCTGCTGCTACTTGCAGCCGCCATAGCGGAAAGAAACCCAATGAGCTCGAGCTGCTGATTTCCAATGTATAGACACCGCTCTCTATATAGGGAGCCCCTCGCGCTTCTGAATCTTGCATGCTCGATAGTTTATCTTGATCAGGGAAGGAAAAGAAAGTGTTGTAATCTAAGGAATGAATCCACAGTGTTAATTCTCCCTGACACTAGCACATTTCTCTGAAGAACTCAACTGTCAGTGAGTGCTCGAACCTTGCAACACTTGTTTTTTTCTTCTCCCCTGATCAAGATAAACTATCGAACCATAATCCATGCATGCAAGATTGTTGGGTCAGAAGCGTGAGGGGGCTCTTTATATAAGAGCGGTGTCTAGGCATTGGAACTCAGCAGCTCGAGCTCATTGGGTTTCTTTCCGCTATGGCGGCTGCAAGTAGCAGCAGCATCGCTCTGGCTTCCATCCGCGTCGACAGGCCACGCAGTGCGATTCCGGCGAGAGTCTTGGTTCCATTTCCTCGTCGCCAGGTAGATTGACCTTAGTATTTCCAATCCATTGTGTGTGTCCTTCAGGCGAGACTCCGGCTTTGCCTCAATGTGATCACGGCTGGAGTAATCGCCAGCGATCAAGCAGCCGAGAGGGAGATCGTCTTGACTCCGGGATTCACACAGATGGGCGAGCCAGTAAGTGATTGCTAGAAAAGTTTCTAATGACACTTCTTGTTTGATCTTCCGAAGGTTCCTGCCGGCATGGTGTTGAACGATGTTGTCAAGACGCTCCCAAAGGAGGTAAACAAAGATCATCAAAGAGAAACTTATTTGCAATTGTGATCAGGTGTTCGAAGTGGATGATTTCAAGGCATGGAAGACTGTGGCGATCACGATCTCGGCTCTGGCCACGGGATACGCAGCCCTGACCGTAGCTCCGTGGTATCTCTACCCTTTCATCTACGCGTTCTTGGGGACCGCCGCCACTGGGCTCTTTGTCATCGGTCACGACTGCGGCCATAACTCCTTCTCCAAATCCCAGCTCGTGAATGATATCGTCGGCAATGCGGTCATGACTCCACTCGTCTTCCCGTTCGAGCCGTGGAGAATCAAGCACAACA